GAAGATATGCGACATCAATACCCACATTTGTTTGTGCAATGAAAATTCGAGGACGGATTTTCTTAAGGGGGAGAGATTTGTAACATCCTCCATGTCGGGTGAGTGATTAATTTGCAAAGTTTCAACATTTGGTGATTAAAGTAGAATAATTATATAGTTTAAAATGTATGGTTAGTAAATATGAGATGGAAGTAAGGACCAAATGGTCATTTGTAAGTAATTTTTAATTAAAAATAAAATGTTATGGGGTTATATGAGACCCACGTGTGACATTAGGTTCCAGAACCCTCCCATTTCTTCTCCCTTCTTCCTTATTTTCTTCTCTTCCTTCTCTCAACGTGGAGCTTGCAAGTAAAGGTAAGAATCTGAACCTTGGTAGTTTCTTTGATTTTTAAGATTGGAAATGAAAGCTTGGATGTTATATAAGCTAAAGGAAAGCTTATATGACATTAAAACAACAAGATAAGTGTTTTAGAGAATGATTTGGAAAATGAATTTTTAGATGAAATTTTGATAGGAATGAGTTTTTGAAGTTTGAATAAGATTTTTGACTTGTCAAGAAGCTAACTAAGAAGTATGAGGTGTTAGAATTCAAATTAGAACATATTGGAATTTGGGTTGGATTCTTAAATTCTACATGGAGAATTAGATTTCTAAGTTTTAGAGGTATTTAATGGATAATAATTAGTTAAAGTAAGTGTATGAAAGCTAAGAGTAGTAAAGAGAGTGAAATATGTATGTTTGAGCTGAAATGGGATGATTTCCGAGCTCAAATTAGGATTTTCGGGCTAGGGGAATCGGTACCCATTCAAGGGGAACCGATACCCCTTCAACGAATATGATTTCCAGAATGCTAGAGGGGAATCGATACCCCCAGGGGGGAACCGATACCTCCTCATCGTATATGAAATTCCAGAATGCTTGAGGGGAATCGATACCCCCAGGGGGGAACCGATTCCCCCATGAGAAAAAAAGAAAGAAAGAAAAGAAAACAAGACTAAGCTATAAATTCTTTAAATTAGTAAGCTATTAAAGCTTAATTTCAAGACATAGACATCTGATGATCATCTTGAAAATTATATTTATGTAGATACCGAGCCTACTCGAGTTCGGGAATAATCTACAAGTAGAATCGATCGAGGAAAAGGCAAAGAAGTATAGGTGAGTGCATATGCATAGCATGAATATAGTATTATATTCAGTTCTAGACTTGTGATAAGTGTAGATTTCATATTTTGACATATGATCACATTCCATATTATGATACATGACATGAATTTATATTAAATGTATTACATGACATGAATTCATATGATATGTATTGCATGACATGAATATGCAGAAAAGTTATATGAGCTATGTGATAAAGGTATGTAAATGATATGACTATGTGATAAAGGTATGGAAATAATATGACTACGTGATATGAACTACGGGAAATGTATAAGCCCATGTTATGTAGATGAGAACTATAGGTATAGTTGGCATGCCAAGGGTAGAGGGTATACTCGGTTCTTTAGGACATATGTATATCCTTTGGAACCTGTGTGAAGTCTTGAAAGACACATACTTGATCCATAGTATATGTATATGATTCTTAAGGAATTCTATGTGGTCCTTATGGACATCATTATATGGCACTACGGTGCAATTCTACGGGCACTTCGGTGCAATTCTACGGGCACTTCGGTGCAATTCTACGGGGTACTTTGGTGCATTTATACGAGCTGTGGTGACAGCATAGTGCACAACCTCACATTACTCAAATACCTTAGGTTCTCAATATGCTATCATGGGCCAATAAACTTATTAATACAGATTCATGAATGTTACAGTCATACGCTTACAGGTATGGGTATTGATGATGTATACTACATTGATTAAGTACATGTTTGCATTTCATCTCATATGATCATAACATTTTCATTATAATTGCCTTGTTATTATTATTGCCTCACTAAGTCGGTGACTTAGCGTGTGAGTGTTTCACACGTAGGATCCGAGGAATTAGACGAGACAGGTGAAGCAGCTTGACAGTATTACTCCTGCAACCATCAGATCAGAAACAACTTAATCAGTAGGTCATTTTGTGATGTAAATAGCAGTTGGCATGTAATTAAAGGGTTAAGTTGTGTATGCTCTGAATATTTTGATAAACTTATATTACAGTATGTATATTATTGTATTTTCTTCATACAAGTACAAATATTTTACTATTATTTATTAAGAGTTGCTTATTAAAGTTAATGTAGTATCTCTGACTCATATCCGGGTCGGGTATGGGTTGGGGGTGTTACATATAATTCACATTTTTAATACTTTTATGATTTTTTTATAAATTTAAATCACTTATTGATCTAACAAATAAGATAAATAGTATAACGCCCCAAATCTCGAGTTAGTAGTTTTGGATTAACCCGAGTGGGTTTAGATAAATCAATTAGCATTGTAAGGGGACTTGGACCAAGTTAGCCTTGGGTTTGGGCTTGATTTTTGGCCTAACATGTGGTAAAAAGGGTGTTTTAAGAGGGGATCAAAACTTGAAGGACAGAGGAAGAAGTTTACCTATTTTTGTTATGAAAGGCTGAAAATCCTTAATTGTTTGATGATCTCACGTTGTCCCCTTCTCTTTTTCCCAACTCTTCTTTGTTTCTTCCTCTCCTCTTTCATCCTTCATTTTCCACTCAACCTAGAACCAACAAAGGTAATAATTTGGTGGCCTTGCAACCCTAGTTTATCAATTTAAAGGTAATAATCTTAATCCTCAACTTCAGAGCTTCAAATCAAGTCCTTAACCTATTCATTTCACCATGGTAGCCAAATATGTGTTTTTAGTAGGGTTTAGGAACCCAATGTAAATCAACACATTTTTAAAGGAACCAAACCTTAGGAAGTGTTTTTAATTCATTTCTAGACTCCCAAACACGTTAGTAATCCATGTGTTTGATTCTTGCATAATGAGAGAAGTTGGAGAAAGCTTCGGGACTAAGGGGAATGAAAAGCTCACACTTGGTTGAACTTCGGATGTTTCCAACAACTTAGAATCCAAGGTAACCGACTGCTAACTCAACTATACCACATGTAAATAATTAGGTCTGTTTTGGTAGGTTGCATGAGTTATGAAGCATGTCCATGGTAGATTGCATCTTTTGATGTTTTCATTATGTTAAAAGACCTCTCATGATCTCTTTTAACACACATAACAAATGTAATAATAGTTGGGGACCTCAATAGGATGTTTGAGAGTGCTGGAGAGATATTTTCGTTCCCAAAAATATGGTATTTTTGGGCATGAGTATCGATATTGATCTTTAGGAATTAAAAACAAAGGTAAGGTATTGAGTTCACTTAGCATATCTCAATTTCCATTTTTGGTATCGATACTCATGAGAGTATCGATACCAAGGGTAGAGTATCGATACTCCTTAATATTAGTATCGATACTTCCTTGAGTATCAATACCATAGACCAGAAGTATTAATACTCAAGAAAGAGTATCAATACCAACCCTTTGTTATCATAATTCAATACGTCAATAGTATCGAGACTCAGATGTTAGTATCGATACTCAGAGGCCAATATCGATACTAATGATCTTAGTATCAGTACCCACGAACAATATTGGATAAGAAATCCAAGGGTTTAAGGGTTAGATTTGAGGGACCCAATAACATCAGAACATCATGAAATAAATTTGCAAGTGAGAACAGAAATAAACTCATAACAACTAGAAACAATAACAACTAGGATGATATAAAACTAGTGTTGTTTGATGCTCAAAACATAAACATGATACCTGAGTTACTCTAATAGATACAATCATACAATTTGGATATACTGTCAGTGCGAAGGGTTCACCTGAGTTATGAATATCCTACCTTAGCTTCCTAGCTGTTGAAAATGCCCTCAAATCAACCAATGATCAATTTCTCTTTTTTCTCTGGCCTTGGAGCTTTCTCCCACTTCTTTCACTATACAAAAACAAGGAAATAGATCACTAACTCGTTTTGTAAGCTCATGAAGGGATCTAGGACACTCCCTAAGGCTCTAACCTCATAAAAATGGATTGAAATCTCTTGGGTCTCTAAACCCTCACTAAAACATACTTTTTATTTCCATGACCACAACTTGATATCTAGAGTTTGAATGAAAACTTAGAAGATAGAGATTCCACTACTTACCTTGAAATTTCTGCTCTAAGCTTACAAATTTAAAAGTTTCCACCTTGCTCACTCTTGGAAAGAAGGAAATTGTGAAGAATAAGGGAAAAGACAAAGTTGAGTGTCTAGCGAAAAAGGGGAGGATATGCATGAGATCATCAATCCTTAAATGGATTTCAACTTTTTTTTAATAGATAGGAAAATTACTCCTTTAGTTTTTCCTCTTACATCCTAATATTAAATGTCTTCTATATCTCAAACTGGATTCAATCCAAGCCCAACCCAAATTCAACCCAACCTCCAAATGGACCCAACTCTCTCACGAAGTAATTGGACTCGTCTAAACCATCTCGAGTTTATCCGAAACTCTAAATCTGAGATTTGAGGCATTATAATATATATCTTATATAGTTAGAAAAATTCATTAAACTAGAATAAATTCCTACTATAATTTTATATTTATAAAATTTGAATATAAACTCAAAAAATTTGACTCGACTCAAATTAAATTTAAATAAAATTTACATAATAAAATATGACTCAAAATTAAATTAATTTAAAATTATTTGACTCGACTGGATCGAATACTTATTGTTAACTGGGATTAACCATGATGAAAAAACAGTGCCGTTTGTATCCCAAACGTGAGCTTCATCTGAATCTTCTCCTTACTGTGATCCGGAATCACAGCCGTCCGATCTGAGTGTGGTGTGATATGATAAGAACAAGACAAAAAAGGCAAGCCAACCCCACATGATATAAAATATTTCTTTTTCCTTTTTTTAATGAATAATTGAATTAGATTTGTTCAGATCGATCTAACCTTTTCAAGCTATTCATTACGTTCACAAACTCTGTAGTACACCTAACGCTGTGCACAAACAAATCCACAATTTTTTTTTGTTGTAAAGAAAGATCTGAAAAGGATAGTTAAAAAATCCAGAAGCTCTAGTTTTGGGTGGTGTTACTCGCGAAGCGCGTTTTGTTAAGATTCGTTCATTACTGTTGAAGTTCTTAAGGAATGTGTTGTTTTGAATTCGATTGACTTGATCCGTTTGATACGCTGAGGATGTCGGTTACTCGCTGTTGATTTTGGAGGTAACTGCTTTTTTTTTCGAGCTTGATTTTTGGCTTGCCAATGGCGGGAGAGATTCAAGAGCCTTTCAACATTAGTTTTTTGGTAAGTCTTTTTTTCTCTTTCTGTCGTTTCAGTTAGATATTTGGAATTTGGATTATTTGGTTATCAAATGGAATTATTTTTTTGAGTTCTGTTGTTGTACTTCTTACTGAATATTTTGAGAACGTTTTATGTTTAGAAATGATGAATCTTATATTTTAACTGATGAAATGATAATCTAGTTGATGAAGTTTAAGATTAAAAAGAAAATAGTGGTCGGTTTACTTCACTTGCGAAGTGAATTTGCTTCTTATTCATATATTGATTTTAATCTCTCATGTTATACATTTCCTTGATTTTTTGGGAACAAAGAAATCTGTGTCTGTTTCCTCTTTGGATGATTTAAGTTTAAGCTTCAAGAGTTCTTTCACTTGCTATTGAGGTTCCATTGCTTGATTCGCTGTAGTTTGATTATGATCACTGTTTCCTATGCAATATTTGGTGATATATAGAATAAAGTGTTAAAAGATACAATGTAAAATCAGCTATGACTTCTGCATGCACTTGTATGTTCCTTTTTTTTTGAATTGTATTGAATTTCTCCCTATCTTATTGAAGATCCTTTATCTCTTTCCATTAATAAATTTCAAGCTTCTTTCTTTTGGTTTGGCAAAAGAGGCTATGAAGGTGCGGTGCAGAGTACGGCTTCTACTTACTTTAGTATTGGACTAGAAACTTATCATGTACACTGGTAAATATGGACTAGCTTAAGGTTTGATTTGTCTGGGTTAATGACTCATAATCATCATTCAAACTTGTGGATTCTAGTAATTAATTTGTTGCTCCACATAAACGGTTGATGATGATTGCACTGGATTTGGATAGTAATATTGAGGATCTGAAGGTAGGATATGGAGAACACGAATGCCAATTTCAGACAAAGAACTGCGTTATCCTTAGGATACAGTATACATTTTAGCTACTTGTTTTGATACTAACAGAGAAAATTATATTATTAGATAAATTACTTATCCCTTTTCCAATTTCAAATTGTCTATGGCACCAGGATTGTGCCATTAGGAATGCATACTATATTATTCCTGAAACTTGAAAATCTATAGAAGATTGTTATTAGTTTTAATTGCTTACAGTATCTCAATCTCAAGTACCTTCCAATATCATATAAGTGCTGGTAAATGTTGTCTTGGGAACCTCTTATGAGTTTCTGATCCATGAAATGAATGATAAAATACAATTTTCTTTATACTGTAGCAGATAATTGGTCCAGTCCACCTATTTGTTTTATTCTAACACCAACTCTTTTTTGAACTGGGCAGACAGAATCTCTGCATTCTGGTTCTGTATCATTTGGCAGATTTGAAAATGAACCCTTAGCTTGGGAAAGAAGATCCTCCTTCTCACATAATAGATATCTTGAAGAAGTTGAGAAATTCTCAAAACCTGGTTCAGTTATTGAGAAGAAAGCTTATTTTGAAGCTCACTTTAGGAGGAAGGCACGTCTTCTCCAAGGTACATCTGCGGGCCAAAATGGAGGTGAAGCTCAAACCTTTGAGAATGGTGTTGCAGCAAATGAGGGTTATGGAGACTGTCAAACAGTTGAGAACCATTCTTCAGAGAACAAATATTATGGAGAAGAATCTGATATTTTAAGTAAAGATAGCTACTACAATCATTCTGATGAGAATGGTTTGGATCATGCAGATTATGGGGAAGATTTTTGTTGTGAGAATAAAGGAAGGCTATTTCATTATGAAAATGAAGGGAACCAGTCTGATCATGTGAATGAAGGTAGACTTTGTGCTCATTCTGAAAATAGTCCTGAAGATTCAGAATATCTTGGGGAAGGTGCTTTGATTGAATGTGGAAGAGACTATCCTGAAGATTTATCCACTAATGAAACTCATGGTTTGGTTCCTGGGGATGTTAAACCTGAGGAGAGTCCTCAAATTGAAATTGAATGTGATAAGCCACTTAGTAGAAGCAATAAACTAGAGAAAAATATGGAGGAAAACCATGATGATGAAGCAGTTAGCATTGATGAATCACTTAAGTCCAGGGATCCATCTCCCGTTGCTGGAACCACTGGAGATGTTGATACTGCTAGGCTAGGAATTCAACAAATTGATACTGCTAGGTTAGAAATTCAACAAAGTCATTCACCAAAGGTATGAGTTTATATTTATATCAGTTCTTGTTGGCTTCTGAAAAGTAGCATTCATTGCAGTAGCCAGAAACTTATTTCACATTGTTTTCTGATGTGATTACCTGCAATTTTATGCTTTTTGAATTTTTTAATTCTAGTTGATGGCTACTATTGTACGAGCTACTAAACCAATGTTGAAGTCTCAAATGAGTCCTGATCATTCCCGGAAAAACATTTCTTCTGATCTTTCAAAAGTGGCTGCTAGGGTTCTAGAAAGAAAGGAAAAAGAGATCACAAGGAGAACAAAAGCAGAAAAACTACCATCACGAACTGCCACTCCAACTAGACGTCCAATGCCCAGATCTCCAAAAAAAGAAGTGAAAGTTTTGACTTTGACTTAAAAGTTAAATGAAAAATACATCATCTGTATTACCTAATCTTTTGAATCCCCTTTTCCTTGGTCTTTCTTGTCCAGGATTTTGAGAGAGAGACAATGCTAACTTAAGCACCGAGCATAAAAGGTACTTCCTATTTCTTGCATTTGAAGAATATGTATGTTTCTTTTGTAGGGACAGTTCAAATGATTATTTTATTCTTCTGACAGTATAAAAAGAGCAGTGACAAAGAAAGTAATTGAAGCTCGACCTTCTTCATTGAAAAAGATTGAACCTGTTGCTCGCCAGACACCAAATAGGTATGTAGCAACAACGTGGGCACTGCTTTATGTCATAAAAAATTGAATTTTATCCTTAACGTATTCTTTTATATAGGCTTAAGCAGAATGTCAATTCAACTAAGGCAGATGTAAAGTCAACTGCTGGGTCATTCCATTTCAAAAGTGATGAACGAGCTGAAAGGAGAAAAGAGGCAAGCGAGCATGCTTTCATTCTCAAACTTTTTTGGGTAAAGATCGTAAATGGTCTCCCAACTATAAGGTACTGCTTTATTAAGTTCCTTGACTATTAAAAGTTACAAAATAGTCCTTCGACTATAGAGTATTACTTTGTTGAGCTCCTCGACCACTAAAAGTTACAAAATAGTCACCTAACTATGCATTATGTTCCAACCTCGTCATTTTCCGTTTAAAATAGACTATATTCTGAGCTGAATGTTAATTTGTTAACTATGATATGATAAAATTTGATCCCAAAATCTCAAACGATTATCATATCCCAGTCATCATGTTAACATCCAACTTAAACAACCGCCAATTTTTTAATAGAAAAGGGCGAGTCTGAAATATAATGAATAGTCGGGCGACGATTTTTTAACTTTTAATAGTCGAGAGATTCAACAAAACAACACTCTATAGTCGAAAGATCATTTTGTAACTTTTAATAATTAAGAGACTTGATAAAGCAGTACCCTTTAGTCGAGGGACTATTTGTGTTCTTTACCCAACTTTTTTTTTAAGTTATTTTAGTTTAAGGATAAACTTTAATGTCTTTATTCTTTTTGTCATAAAATATTCAGTTCTTAATGAAATTGGAAGAGAAAATTCATGCCAAAGAGGCTGAGATGAATCAGATTCAAGCAAAAACACAGGTAAGGAAAGCATACAATATTCACTATTTACTATTTTAAATGAAGATGAAATGGTATTCCTCTATGTGCTTCCTTCTTAGTATTTGAAATGAAGGGCCGTGATGACATTTCTGGATTGGATGCTTTACTTTTCCACTCTGTCAATATTCATGGTTATTCTCTTGTGGTTGCTAACTTCATAAATAAATTGAATGCTTTGGTCTCATTGCAGGCAAAGACAGAGGCTGAAATTAAGCAATTGCGGAAAAGCCTTAATTTCAAAGCAAAACCCATGCCTTCTTTCTATCATGTTGCCACAGTACTAGGGTCTAATGGAAACAAGGTACATTTGAAGCTAAACTATTGCTTTGATTTTATAATGCAGCCAGCTCATGTCTTCTATGTGATTAGTTCAAGGAAGCATGCCTTCATTTTTGCATTTCTAACTTGGAGGTTCTTACGGTGGCCCATATGTAATTATGGTCTAGCTAATAGCGTTAGTGACTCATTGAATTTTCATTATTTCTTTAATTTTCTTAAAAAGCATAATATTTTGACATTCCATTTGGAACAATTTATTTAATTATGTGAAGCAATAGTAGTAAAAGATAATATTTATATTTTCTTCATGTTTCTACTGCATTTTTTCATGTTGGCTTTAGTAGAATTCCTTGGTCTGAAGAAAATTCTTATAAGATATGAGAAAATCTGAAATGAGTTACACCATCCAAAGGATGCAGTCAAAAAAGGGAATGCTTATAATAGTTTGCCTTAGCTCTGATAGGAAGTTGAACTTGTATGCTCTATCATGATCCTGTTTATATTTTGCTACTTTTTCATGTGATTAGTCCTATGATAATCCAAATCACTTATTTCATATTTTTGTTCCATTTATCAAGAGATTTTAACACTGGCTTTCTTCTATTTCTTTCTCAGGTTGCATCATCTACCAAGAAACCAGCTAAAGTAGGATCGAAATCAGCAAATGCAGGAGTGGGATCAACTGCAAGGTCATCGTCACTCTCCTGGGAAGAAAATAAAGAGGTCCTTTCTGGTGGAGAATTTGGGGGTGAGTCGAACTTTCATACAATTGAGTCATCATCTCAATCTGGCATCATGTCCTCGACTCCAACTGGTAGTCATGGCTCCCCAGCATCTGTCACACAAAACAGTATCCTTTTGAAGAAAGAGAGAGGGAAAGAGGGCAATAATTTGCCAAAATATCGAATATCAGAGAATGGTAAGGTTGTAAAAGATCATAAGAATGGTGGCATGCCAAAAGTGGGAGCCCAGAGAAATAGCCGAGAGGTTATGAGGAAGAATAACATGAGAAGTGCTGGAATTACCAATGCCAGTGGTTCTGGTATGGGTTGTTTAGCAATTGTAGCTTCCTGAAATGATCAGCCATGGTGTCTCATCTTCACCCATTTTACTTTCCCATATAGGCAGGGTATCCGACACAAGTATCTTCGAATTATCTAATCATGTGTTGCCTTAAATGCGCATTGAATTTATAACGCACCAGGAATGTGACGGTGCCTAGTTTACATAGAAAACCAGATTCCTTGCGAGGGAGATAGCAGAATGGTAAGGCCGGTAATAGATAGTCGAGAGTAGGGTTTCACAAAAATACTCGAAACAACTTAAATTACGGGGCGTGTAATGCAACCTTCAGCTGGAATTCTAGTCGGTTAATAATGGTGGCTCTGTTGTTGTTTGTAGCCCTTACCTACCACCTCTGCCAACATATTCCTCGCTAGAAAGATGAGATTTGAGGCAAGTGGTTCACCATTATCAGGTTAGAAACTCTTTTCTTTTCCCTTTTTTATCCTTTAAAATGGCAATGAATAGCATTTAAGCTGAGACCTTTGGGTAAAAAGCAAGACGAAGGAAGATAAATAGAAAACCTGGAAATATCTGAATTGTTCCATTTTGCCCCGGTGGTTCAGAGGTTTTAATTCAAAGGGGAAATGCTTCTTTTACGCACCAATTGCTCTTTTAGCCTTATTAAGAATTTTAATTAAAGAATACTTGGAACCAGGACATTTTCCATAATCATTTAAACTTGCATTATCATCCACTGTGAAATCAATCCGAAATAGACGATTCAATCACGTAGGAAAGCAAAATTGTAATGAGAAAAAGTATAAAGCAAAGCAAGCACATGGAGATTTAGAGGAATTTAATTAAATATTAATCGTACTTAAAATCATCCCATCCATTACTAAACAAAAGAGTTAAGGGGGAAAAAAGAAGTGCGTGTAGCACCTGGACTCCTCGTTGTTTACTTGTCTTCACCATTTCTGCAACTGAAAACACATACCAAACCATCCTGATTCTTTTTTAGTTACTCCCATAACCATGGCTTGATCATAAATACTTGCACAATTTTTTTTCCTTTTAAAAAAAGTTAGTAATTCCCTAAACTAGAAAATAGAAAATAACTAGAATGATAAATACAAGAAGATTGGTGGTAGCAGTGATGATGAACCTTGATTTCCCAGGCCTAATCGTTGTTCCCGATGACTGATCATCTGTTCGGTGTGGAGGTTTTCTATAGTAGAATGGGAAATAAGGCAAGATAGGGTCAGGTGGGGGCTGACCGTAGAAAGAATTGCCACCATAAGGTGGTGGTTGTGTGTAATATGGTAAGTTCCCTGTAGGTGGAGGGTATACTGCTCCTGTTTGTGAAGGCGGTGAATAACTAGCCGGAGGTGTTTGAGTGACTATGCCACCTCCGCCGCTGCTTCCTCCTCCTCCGGGGCCTGTTGGTGGTGGGTAACATGGATAAGGACATGGGTTATCTTGCTTGGTTTGAATAAGGGAGCTGAAGAAGAAGAAGAAGGTAGGGAGAGCTTTGATAAGTACTGTATTGGCCATGATATAGAAACCAAAAATAGAGGGATGGAAAGAGAATTCTCAAAGTTGGATATAAAGAGCCAATAAAGGAAATTAAAGGATTGAAAAGTAAGCTCTAGCTGCTTAGTGTCCTTAGTGTTCAAGTTGATGAAACAGAGAGCACCCTTTTTCTACTCAAAAGCAAGGGGCGGAAATGTCACATTTCTGGACCCCATACCACTTTGAAACTTTGCATTGAAGACTTCATTATGAGCAATGAGTTGTTTTCAAGAAAGGGTTGCTGAAGATTGATTTGCTTGTAGGAGAGATGGAATTTTGTGGTTCCAAATTCATCACGAGAAACTAAAACAGGGGCCTCTGTTTTTCAATAATAACGACAACATGAGCCTCAGGATTCCATTTGGAACTTTTATTCTCTTCTCCATTTGTTTCAGTTTTCTTAGTAAATGCTTCTAAATTCGATGAAAGTAGATTGATCATTCTGTTTCTCTGAATATTCTAAATTCCATGATATTCGACATATTTTAAGGTAGGATTTTGCATTCACTGATTGGAATTTGTGCCAACATTCAAAAGCAAACTGCACTTTTTGAAGAGCTCAATTAAGTTGAGTTCAGCTTTTGATGGCATGATAAAACTAAATAGAACAGAGGAGATTAGTTGATGATGTGTGGAAATTATGCTCTGTTTTTAGGATTCAATGTCCCCAAAGATAATGCTTTGGAAGCATTAATCAACCTCTCACGTCCCTATGCGTTTCTTCACTCAACAAAATTAGATTAGTAACATCTTCTCACAGTAAATTTTTATTATACTCGATTCAAATTAATACATTAAATATAAATAATTATATACAAAATTTTATCATCATTTCATGGACATATTAAACTTATTTTGTTTATTTATCATGGTTAAGGGTTAAAAGTATTTTTAATTGAACCAACAAATTTGGTCACGCAAATACCAACCCTAGGAGGCCTAAACCTAATCTTGTTAGAGGCAAAGAGGCGTGAAATGGAGGCCTAAACCAACCATATAATATAAATCACCAAACAGTCCATCTAGGCTTTGATTTAGTGGACGCATTTGTTAGAAAGAATCCTAAATGCCCAAACGCATACCTAACCTTGAAGCTGAATCAACCCCTCCCCTATTATTTTAGGCATCACTTTATTTTTGTTCGGGATTTATATCACCCACTTTTTTTTTAATAATCCGGGGTAAGTATAATGTAATATTTATTCAAAGATAGCTCTCAATCTTTTTATATTGAACACTCACACCCTTAGTATGTATAGTACTTGAACTCAGGTCCTCAAGGAATAACAACAATTCATTTACTACGGAGGTCACTTGGTTCATGCTTATATATCTATTTATGTTGATTAATATTACTCAATTTTATATTAATTTATAATTTTTAGATGAAATAAATAAATAATTAAAATTATTTTTTACACATAAAAATCTTTTCATTTTATATTATTTATTTCAACAATATATCATGAGAGAATATGCTTCAACTTTAAAATTATACTCACTCAAATATTTGAGATTCAATGAAAACTTCGAAAATTTTGAAGTCAAATTTGAGTTTTATCATTGGTGAGTTCTTGTTTTATTTTTTGTGAGTTGTGTTTATATTTATTATAGTTTAAATTAAGAGTTGATTACATGATTGATTATTTCGTTTATGTTTTGTCTACTTTTCCTTATTGATTTCAAATAATATAATATTTGGTCATTTTCGTTTTTATTTAATTAAGATGTGGTCACTTTTGTTTTTATTTAATTAAGATGTGGTCGCTAAAGATTAATTATCGTTAGATTTTCAACAGATTGCTGATATGTCACCATGAATATATAAGATTAAAAAGCATAAACTACACAAATGACCACTAAATTCGAGAAATTTTTCCCCATTAAAATTTCAAAATGAACAAATTGGCCACTAAATCATCAAATAGTTCCTTATGATTATTCTATATCTCTCTCTGTCGTCTATTAACTCAGAAAAGCGGACTAAAGAAATTTAATGAAGTATTTCATATCGATGAAGACGAGAATTCAAGTGTGGGGAAAAAAAATCAATCCAAAAGTGTATTTTCTTTCTTTCTTTTTCATGGCTTTTATTTTTCTTGGCATTCTTCGACACTAAGGGGATGAAGAAACCACTTAGGGAACGTATATCACAAAATAGTATTGATCAATTTATTATTTTAAAAACTTTAGTAGAAAAATAAAAAAAATTATTCAAATATTAATGATTATTTATGTTATTTATTGTTTCTATTTTTATATATTTACTATATCATATCAACCCTCCGTTAAAACGTTAAAGATAATTATCAAAATCAGACAACAATCCATATAATAAGCCAAAAACCTTTTCGATTTGGCCCCTATTACGACAAAACTCAAAAAGAGGATTGGAACGTGGCCTTTGTCATCCTTACAAAAAGAATAATTTGTCTACTAAATTTGAAATAAGCTATGGGAATTTGGCAAACGAAGAGTAGAGCCACCACATTTTTAATAAGAGATGTTTAAGGAAAGACAACTTAACATAATGTTAAGAAAATACACTACCAGAAATGTTAATATTTTTTAATACTTTTGGTAGAATGCTACTTAAAATGTTATTTTTTTTACCAGAAATACTAATATCGGACGCTACTTAAAATATTATTTTTCTACCGAAAATATTAAAAAAATATTAACATTTCTGATAGCGTCTTTCCTTAACCTTATATTAGACTGCCTTACAGCATAACTACCCTCTTCAATAAGCAATGCCAAAACTTATCCTTCAATTCTCTTAGCTAATCGATTACTCATTCATGGGTTGTCAAGCATAAATCTACTTCATTTTGATCCCCAACCCAAAAAAAATTAAAATTTCAAAACCGGTCAATTAATTTCCACATAACAATTGTTAATCGAAATTTTAAGAATTATTTTATCGTTAAAATTTAATTTAAAATTTATGTGGATGAACCAAGCTCTAAAAATGTGGGAGCCTATGTTTCATGAAAAGGTATGATCCATGAGTTGGTGATGAAATCGAGGTTGATCTCATCTGACACATTTCATATCATCAGAATCTTTCCTTTTGTCTCTCACTTCTCACTTCATTTATTTATAACCCTCGGGCCCATCTCTCCTCTCTTATTAACCAACTCATTTTCAATTGTAAGCGACGGTGCAAGGCGGAGACGCCGCCTGTTCCCCATCATCACCGTCACTTTCCAACCTCTGTTCTTTAACAAACCTTGTGTTTGAAGAAGAAAAAGGAAATACCAACTCAAAATCAGGTCAATATGATGAGTAGAAAAAAATCTAAATTGTTTATTATTGATTTGATCGATATCAATATACAACAAGATCCTTGGTAATCCCAACTCAAAAGGCAAGAAAAACCAATAATCCACATACCAAACCCAGAAATCCCACTTCAAATTTCCGGCTTGCAGCACCATAAGTTTGGTCAATAGGGTACAGGTTCCCCGGTGGACCAGTTATGTATATGAAGGATTGTGGAGCAGGCGGCGGCGGACAGTATTGGGTTGGCGGCTTCTTCGGTGTAGGTGGGGGCAACACGGGCGGTGACGGCGGTGGAGGGCATGGCGGAGGCGGCGGTGGAGGACTTGGTTGTACACATGATGGGGTACACTTGATGCCTTGATCACCGGCCGGTACGGTGCTCTCGTCGAGCTTCCTCGATTCGAAGCCGTGGATGGGGTATGCTACGGCGGCGATCACAAAGAAGATGGTTGATGTTACAAGCAGAGGACCGAAATGGTTGATTTTGGTGGACATGGTCGTGGTGGCGAGTAAGAGACGAGGGGAAGATGTCGTTAATAGGCACACGAAAGGCTCAAAAGAATGACAAAATGGAGTGAATGAGACGTGTTCTTAAAGGCTCTTTTATTAATTCATTTATTGATTGGCTGCCCTAAGGGAATCCTTTGCATGTGGGGTGACATGCCTATTATTGAACAAGACCTAATTAACATGCAAATATATTAATCAATTTGCATGCAACTCATGGGAATATACATGAAAAATTGGATTGGTTTGGGGTTTGTATGAAACAGCTATCCATATAATACCATCTTAATCCATTTGCATCAAAATCAAAAGCTTCTAATTGTAGTTTTAGATTATAACACTTGTAATTTTAATTGTAAAATTCAATTAGTGATAGTTGAAAGAGAGATGTTTATAATAGAGAACATGAAAACGAAGAATAATTGGGGTAATGAAAGGTGTGAGCATAAAGGTCATGGAATAACAAACAGTTGCCAATATCCCCATAACATTATACCTTCAATCAGGAGGAAGACAAGTGGAGATGGTGGTGACTCACAACTCACCCTTATCACCACTTATTATCACCCTCTCCATTTTCTTATTTATATAAGAAATATATCTATAAAAATAGTAAAATATTCTTAATCACCGAAATTATTTCAAGGGTTAAGGTCATTTTTTTGTTAGACTGAGGTGAACGTAAATAAAATTTCAGTTGAATATCATCAATAAAATAGATGATTAATTGAATAAAAGACGCGATTCTAACCTTAGATGAATTTAAGATAATATATGTTTAAAAACGCCCAAACATATAATATTAAACACTTATATATCTTTATATATATATATATATATATATAGTGTTCGAACTTAAAATTTCAAGAAAAAAATTAACTACAGAAATGGCTTGTTTAGTAAAAAAGGGAGTTTAAATAGTAGACCATTAGTTGTTAGTGATTAAAAAAAGCCACCGTCCCATTTTCTTAATTCCATACCTTCTCTACTCACACCTTCTTGGGGTCAACTTTCCTAGTCATTGTTTTTGGTCACAAGCATTGCTTTTGGAACCTTCCTATGAGCTGTACTCTCATCATTTCAATGATTTGAGTACAAAACCAACTTCAATTTTAATATTACACATAAAACATTGAAGAAGTACAAAAGGTTTAATGTGTTAGATTAAAGGTGAATGGGTTGTTAAATGTTAATGGATTTGACTGCTTCCAAGATGAATAAAACTTGGATTGGAGGAATGCATTACCTAATTCCCTCGTTTGGGCCATAAGAGAGAGCATTTCAAATGCTCATTTGGCAAAGTGTTCACAAGCAAACCATAAGTTCATGTTCTTCAAACTACTTATGACTGTGGGAAGTTGCTATCAATTTCCACTACCAATAATACCCAGAAAAAATGAAGCTCATACCTCTGGTTCATAGCAGGAAGAAGAAGATGAAGAATAGAGCTTACCATTGCGAGCTTTGGATAAGAATGCTTGGCCCACCCTATTCCCATATGTAATGGGGTTCTGGTTCATAGCAGGAAGAAGAAGATGAAGAATAGAGCTTACCATTGCGAGCTTTGGATAAGAATGCTTGGCCCACCCTATTCCCATATGTAATGGGGTAAGGGGAGGTAAGATAGTAGGCTGCCCCTAACGCCATATGTAATGGGGTAAGGGGAGGTAAGATAGTAGGCTGCCCCCAACGCCAGGTTGAGAACAGCTTCCGTGGGAGACCTCCGGCAATCAGAATTATGAATTGTCCACCGTGGGACTCGATCCCACGACCACAAGGTTAAGAGCATTGCGCTCTTACCAACTGAGCTGGACGGATAATTCAATTGATTTAATATTTGATTATTGTAAATTAAAAAAAGTTTAATTTGAATATTAGTAGAATAAATACTCTCTAAATATGTCAATTTAAAAATGTATTTATTATTATTTTAATTAAAAATGTATTTATTATTATTTAATTAAAAATGTATTTATTATTTTTTAATTAAAAATGTATATAAATTAAAATAATATCTATTTAAGTTTAAATGGTAAAAATAGTTTATATCTTTTGAATATTTCAAATTAAAAGATATTATTATCTATTTAAGTTGAATATTAAAAGATATCTGGTTGGATTAAATCTCTCTTGAAAATCTCTTATAAATACTAAGCAAACCTGTTATGTTTTTCACATCTTAAAATTCAAGAACTTTTACTTTCTTGAAAAAATATTTTCTCTTCTCCTAGTTTCCCAATGATAGACGAATGCAATAACTTTTACTTTCTTGAAAAAAATATTTTCTCTTCTCCTAGTTTTCCAATGATAGTTCCTAATCTTTATTATTGTGCTACTGGAGTTGATCATTTAGTTTTTGTATTTTGAGAGACAGACAACCAACGAAAGTGGTCGAAAATATATCTTAAAGAAACTGTGTAGCGATAAGCCTCAATTATTTCCGTTTCCGATCGATTGATCAAATTAAAAAGGAGTAATTTTATTTCTATTTATTCTTGAATTGATTTTAAGAAGTTTAACTTCTTTGTTTTACTTTTCTCGGGATTGATTCCGTTTCAAATTGTTATTTTAGATAACAATCTCAAAATAGAGTAAACTCGTTTTATCCCCTTGATTATAATGATATTTCGTTATTTTTAGTTTTCTATATTATTTTTGAATTAATGTACCATTTTTCTAATAATCTTAAGATAGTGTTGGAATCATTGCCTGATCAGGGTGATCAAAGTCATGTTTTTCCCTTCTTCAGGTGGTTATGTTCTTGATGATTTGGCACCTATTGTTGGTATGGACTTGTGTTCTTTAGAACAAATGAAGGATTTAAATATGTCCTCTATGTTGCCCTGTGATATTAGAGATTTTCCCAAATCTGAATTGCAAGAAACGGTGATCGAGACTGATGATGAGAGGCATATTTACGAGATTAATGAATTGGAAAAATCTGAAAAGATTAAAGAAGATGAAGCTTTCAGCGAATATTTTTCAGGCATTGATACACACCAGAGTATATTGGTTTCAATCTCAAGCAGGTGTGTGCCGAAAGGAACTGTATGTGAACGTTCACGGCTCTTGCGAATAAAGCTCTATGGATCTTTTGATAAACCACTGGGATGATACCTTCGAGATGACCTATTTGATCAAGTAATCCATTTCATACTTTTGGCGTCTTTAGTTAAAATTTGAAAATACTTTTTCTATGATTCAATTATAATTTAGTATGTTCTCTTTGCAGGCATCTTACTGTTAGTCTTGTAATGAGCCAGCTGAAGCCCATGTCATATGCTATACGCACAAGCAAGGAAATCTGACAATCAACGTAAGGCGCCTTTCCTGTCTTAAGCTACCTGGTGAACGGGATGGGAAGATATGGATGTGGCACCGATGCCTTAGGTGTGCTCGTATAGATGGGGTTCCTCCAGCAACTCATAGAGTGGTTATGTCTGATGCTGCTTGGGGACTTTATTTTGGAAAGTTCTTGGAGCTTAGTTTTGCAAATCATGCAACTGCTAACCGCGTTGCAACATGTGGTCATTCATTGCAGAGGGACAGCCTTCGTTTTTATGGGTAACTGCTGTAAAGTTTTAAACCTTTGTCCCTTTTGATAGTTAAGTATGACATTGATGAGTATGATTTGACAGATTTGGCAACATGCTTGCATTCTTCCGTTATTCCCCAATCACTATACTATCGGTACATTTGCCCCTATCAATGCTTGAATTTGGGGAAGATGTTCAGCAGGAGTGGATTAGAAGAGAGGCAGCCGAGGTTTGCTATCTATTTCCCTTTTGTTCTTATGACTTGTGCCAATAAAATTCGCATATTCCGGAACTAACTGCTTTGTCTTCTATAGCTAATGGTCAAAATGGAAATGTTGTATGCGGAAATATCTGATGTACTTGACAGCATTGAACTGAAGAGTAAATCTTCAAACGTAAGTGAGTTATCGAATCACATTATGGAACTGAGAGATCAGATTCGGAAGGAGAGAATTGATTACAGCGTAAGAACACTGAATATTAGTTACTGATATGACCTTGAGTACTTCTTAGTAGGCTGTATGTCATATTATGTGCATCTGTTTTATCTTTACATTGTATTTGTTGAAAGATGAGTTATCATTCGCTGACTAGATTTTTTTATAGGGCTTGCTACAACCAGTTGTTATGGAGACATCATACCATGGTCCAGCAGCTATGGACATCCTGGAATTGAATCGCACAAGGCGTTCACTACTTATAAGTTTGCATGTATGGGATCAGCAACTTAATTCGTTGGACACTTTTCCTGGGAAAAATTCTACTTTCAAAGCTGAAGTTGTTCTCTCTGAGGATGAAAAACTTGATGCTCCTGAAGAAAACATGTGCAGGTACTCAGATTTAATGGAGCCTCCTAAGAGTGACAGACAGTTGGAGCAGAACTGCAATTTGCCAACCTTGGAATCCGATATGCCTGAAGAATCTGACTTGGCATCGTGTATTGAGAAGAGAGAGGAGAATGGTCAGCCAAATGAAAGCATCAATTCTCCTGCATCTACTTTATCTGAGAGAATAGATTCTGCTTGGACAGGTACTGATCTACTTGCGTTGAAAGTTCAACCTTCAGAAGCATCTCAGGGAGATGAGCTTCATGCTGGTTTTATCAGGCCAACAAGTAAAATGTATAATCTTCCTTTGAGAAATGTTGCCACACCTATGTGGGTTCATTCTTCTGATTCTGTGTTGATAGTACTCCAAACAAGAATTCAGAAGGGATTGAACCAATCCATTTCTTTCTTATCTATTGAATCTTTTTTTTTTTTTTATAAAAAAATTACTATTGAATCTAAATGTATCTTACCAATAAAAAAACTATTACTTGTTTCTTTTTTTCATTTACTATTTCTTTTTAATATATATTTTAAATTCATATATCAAACTCAATCGAAAAAATTAAATATTATTCTTAATACGTGGCAATTAATATTAGGGTAAATTACAAATTTGGTAATCGAATTTTAATCGATCTCCTATTTCACTCATTGTACTTTCAATCTTTTTAATTTTTTTTATCGCCCGACGTTAAATAGTTAACGACATTAAAATGGACAGTTATATAGATGCAAAACGACGTCGTTTTGGTAGAAATTTTATTTTCACAAAATGGCATCGTTTTTAACGCCACTAATTATTTAACGGAGAAGTGACCAAAATAGGAGAGAGTAAAGTTAAGTGACAAAAAAACTCAATGTATTAAGTTAAGTGAAGAGATTGAAAACTTTTAAAGTTTAGTGAGCAAAATAGGAGAGAGAGTAAAGTTCAGTGATGGAATTTGTAATTTATATAAAATTATATCTTTTTTTTTATTTATATCTAGTCTTTGAATGAAATAATTAAAAATTATTACAAATGTAAACTCAAGATTCATATATCTATAAATTACTTCTAACTCTACCTAATCTTTTGTTTAATTTTTATAGAGACAATCTAGTATATGTAAACTTTCTTGCTAATTAAACTCAGAGAAGTAACATAATTTTCTTCCGAAAATATGAAATTTTATTTATTTTTTTAAAAGAAATATTTGATATATAATAAGTTTTATAAACTTCAGTTTATGCAGATCTATTTATTTTATTGTTATTTGTCCAATTTAAAATTTAAGATTTAAAGGTTTATGTTTAGAATTTAAAATTTATGATTAAGATTGTTTGGATAAAATAAACTTTATTCATATGAATCAAATAACAATCCTTCATTTATTTACTTATATCTACTCTTGGAAATTATTTGTTCCCATGATTTAACTTATTTTTTTAATTAATCATTGATATCTGATCTATTGACCGATAAATCCAGATCAGGTACTGCAGAGGCGAGGGTAACCCTCTCAACTCAGTTTGCTCCATTCGTAAACCCCTAACCTTGATCTAGTGTCCATGGTCTAGTTGTTAGTCCCATGGTTTAACTTATTAAAATATATTATATATGATTATTATTTATTACTTCACCTTATGAACACATAAAGTAAGAGAGTAAATTCGTTATAACCATCTCCGAAAAAACGACCACACCTCCATTCTCTCTAAGCTCTTCCATGAAAGCACAAGGTCTCAAAGCTGACCATGTTGTATGTACAAAAGAAGAAAGCTACAATAATAAAATGTAGGCTGAGCTCTTAATTTATTTATAATCTCTTTGCTTTGTTATGAATTCACTGCTACTTGGCTCCCTCCTCCATTCATTGCCATGAAACTCACCCGTTTCTGCATACAAAATATAACTTTCGGTTAACCATTCCATTGTCGGTCAAAATTTGACAAGATATGCATGAATGTGTTTGAGGAAGAAAGTACAATAATTACATCATGAGAGATGGGTGTATGTTTGGTCAAAATGTTGGTATTAGGTTGCCCTTTTCTCATTAAATGGAGATAAACAAAGACTCCTGCTACATATTTAACCATTAAGAATATTAAATTAATTCTATTTTAATTTAATTTAATTTGATTCTTTTAGGTGTTTTTATCTAAATGAGCTTAGTAAAATCTATGAAAACTAACATGAAAACAGTGTGATTGTCTGGTAAGAAACAAACCTCGGGGGCCTTGAAAACTTCTCCGATACTTCCACGGCCTCCGTCCCAACGCACTTGTCGCCGCTCGGAAACTTCAGCACGTGGGCTGTTTCCGGTCTTCCCCATGCAAAGTTGCATGATTTTCTCCGCCGCCTCCTCCTCATTCGCGCTTTCTTTCATCAACCTCTCGACTTCAGCCTTGGGAAGCCTCATTTTCACCCTCGTCACTCCACTTCCTCCTCCTTCCACTCCTTCATCCCCCTCGGGTATCGATATCGTCGGCTTCAAAAGCGTAAGGTCCGACACCGACCTCCTTGATAACATCAAGCTCTCCAGCCTGTCTTTAGCACTCATGTTTATACCCGACCGAACCCTCCTCGGAACCCTCTCTTTTGGAGCCTCCGGCAGCACCACCAAAAAGTAAAGCCTCTTCGGCTCCAACCTTTGATGCGACTGCAACGGCTTAGCTCGTATACCATAATGCTTAACGGCTTCCGATTCTAACACAACATGCCCCGGATATTCTCTCAACACCTCCTCCGCCGTCACCGGCGTCTTCAACTTCATCGTCTCACCGTTTATCTTCATCACCTTTGTCATCTTTTTCCCTCCCAAACTATTCCCCATTATTGCCTCACACAAAAATGAATATTGTTATGTAACTATAAAAGATAAGAACATACATACATACATAAATATATATAAGGGATTAGTGGTCAAAAAAGAGGGCAGACCAGTTGAGAATATGAACAAAGTAAATGTTTGACGAAGATGAAAAAGTACGTAACATGTTGCTTTCAATGAAATGTTTTTTTAATTACATAACTAACTAAATTTCAGCATTTGTTCAAATTTCAAACGTTGATTGGACCGTACGTTCGGATTTCAATTCAACAACCATTTTTCAAGTTGAATTTAGATAATTTCAAAATTAATGGCCGTAACATGTGGGGAGAAAAATTATTTAACATATCATAGTGAAATCATTGTTTTTGTTGGAAAAGGTTTACGACAATCACGGCATGGGAAACTGGTTTAGGGTTTGGAGATTCAAACTTCACGTATGAAAGAGCAATTTATTTTAGTGGTTAAAAGCATCGTTGATTTCTTATGATAATGAGTTAAAGTATATTTTATTATACTTATTAATGTCTAGTTTGACATTTCTTTGGTGTCCTTAATTCAAACATGATGGTTGAATTCTCCATTTATATTTGAATGAAACAAGGTCTAAATTGACCCTCCGCTCATCGACTTGGAACTCATTTACTTGGAAGTCCTAACTTTGTTAGGTTCGACAAGGATTTAAATTTGGGGTTGCAGTCACGTCTTATTGATATATTGAGTGATATTACTGTTATTGACTAATTTGGATTGACCCGGGTTGTTGCACACTTTGTTTTAGTGGGTAAGTCTCCTAAAAGAGATTTTTTGCATTCACAATGACTCGAACTCAAGACCTGCTTAAGCAGAATCAAGCTGTTTACTACTTGAACCAACCTCCATTGATAATTTCGAACGACACCTTTACCGCTATATAATGATCGCTATTATGATAGGAGACAACTATTTAAATCTATGATATTCAATGAAAAACATATAATTTTATACTAAGAGATAAATTTATAAAGGTTTAGGAGAAATAAAATAAAATTATCAATAAAAATATAAAAAATAATGAAATTAAATGAAAATTTAATTTTTTTTAAAAATACGACCATCTTTTTTTTTTAATTAAAGTTAAGATGATTACAAAATAATATTAAATATTCTAACCTATTTGACATTGAACGCGTAACTACTCTGATGCAGCAATTGGTACTCAAATTCGTAACCTTTAGAGACAATTAAGATTAATAGATTATCTTAACCACTGAAATAAATTAGTTCGTGCGAAATAAATGCATTCTTCTGTAACATTCTTTTAGTATTCAATATTTAAAGTTGTGGCTTTAATTTTTTTTTTGTCCTTTAGTTTCAAAATTTTGGCCTCATTAATATAGACTGACTCGAGACTTACATTAGTTTTGGAGGACGTGTCTTACAATGAGGATTTTCTGTATACACAAGAACTCGATTTTGAGATTTTGCTTAAACGATATCAAGCTACTTACCACTTAAACCAACCCGTTGGTTAGTTTTTTTAATGTTATAAGTCACCATGCACATGAAATTGGCAAATATAGTATTAGTCCCAATTGTTGGGTTGATTTTCGTCTTGAGAATTCCAAGGTTTTAATGCTTCTAGAAAATAAACATATTATATGCAAGTATATCTCATTAAAAAGTTAATGTAACTTCTCATTAGTCCAATACAATATTTGGACTTGTATTACCTATAGGTTGTTATGTAACCGATTTCATAATAGATTCAATAACTATGAATAGATTCATCTAATAAATTAACAAGACGACTCAATGTATTATTAAATTTAATAATAAATTTCTTCTGATATTCATCATATTAAAAAATTGGTATTAAGAATTCTGACGTTTGCGAATGAAATAAACTGGGTTGGGAGGATCCTCGTCTGTGTAGTACCCGATCTAGATTAGTCGGTCAATAGATCGGATACCAGTGATTAATTAAAAAAATGGTATTAATATCATGTTCAAGCATCCTCGACTCATCCAAAATTACTTCAAAAGTTGTTCTTCTTCATCTTCAGTTGGGTAGTTCACGAAAGTGTTCTTCTTTATTCACTTTTCTTTTCCTCTTTTATATTTTTTCCATCTACAATTCATTCTGAAATTCTTCATTGTTCTTTCTTTTCACTTATTTAAACTGATTAATGCAGAAAAGGGTTGTTAAAATCTTAAACTCTCCCCAGAGATTTTCTGCCATGATAACTTGGTTGTTAAGCATCAAGTTCCATACGTACCTTGGAAAAGAAGTAACAAACGATAAAGAAATGGAACGCCGATTATTCTTGAACAAGATCTTCAACTTCCACTATATTTCAGCAACCAATACAATAATTTCAGCAATAATAAGCAGAAAATAGATAAACTTTAATGTGGCACAAGCAGTAGCAATAAAGCACAAAATTAACCAGCATCCAACAAGTACCGATTTAGATAAGATAAGATGAACCACTCTGTTTTGAAAACCGGACCGGACCGGCCGGTTCAACCGGGAACCGTTGCTTAGTTCGGTTCAATCTAAACCGGTTGAACCGCTATTAGTGAATCGGTCAGAACCGTTGAACCGTTCGAACCGGACCGGCTGAAAACCGGAAAAAACCGGGATTTTTGTTTTTAAAAAAAAATTAAACCAAACAATGTCGTTTGTTAAACAAGCCAAGTCGAACTCGAGTATTTCTGAGCTCGACTCGAACTTGAAAACTTTAAAAGTAAGCTCAACTCAACTTAAACTCACAAGCTAAAAATTATCAAGTTCAACTCAAACTCGAAATATAATATTGAAACTTGAACTCAAAAAAAAAAAATAAGAAGCTCGATTGAAGCCTAAAATTCGAGCTTGATTGAAGTGAAAAAATAGTTATATAATTTTGTTATGATTTTTTTAACCCTAAATTTATTTTTTAATTATAGTTATATAATTATATATATTATTTAATATGTTTTACCTTAAATATTATGTTGTAGTTAATTTGAATCAATTTGTTTCACTTGATTTTATGGTTTTTAACTTATATATGTTATGACTTGCTTTGAATATGACTTGTGATATAAAAAATTATTTTTTATTAAATATTTTTGGTATTTTTATTTAATTTTTTAAATAATTATGACGTCGTCCGGTTCGACCGGTTGAACCAATAAACCGGTAGCATGACCGGTTCGCTAACCGGTCCGGTTCTGAAAACCATTGAACCAACCAACAATAACGAAAGTGAATCAAACTATAGATGTCTTCACAAGAACTAGTGATCACCAATATGATTATCTACTAGTAATTCCTGAGAGAGAGAGAGCGTATCTGAAAGGCTATCAAAGAGTGCATGTTGCAGTAAATGAAATAAACGACGGAGGAAACGGCATCTGGATCGTCCACTGTAAATCAAAAGGACTCTGATACCATGTAAAAATGATGACATCAATGATAAAATACGTTCAACGGTCGAAGAATAACGATAAACCGTAAACGAATAAGGTTTTGAATTTACAAAAATGAAGATAAAATGAGAAATCCAATACAGCGCGTGGACTTACATAGTCTATAGGTTACTATGTGATAGCAGACATAACAAATTTTAATAGCTTTAAGTAACACTCTAACGATATAGTCCAACAGACTACCAAATTCAATAACCATTTTTTTATTACAAAGAGTAGAAAAGAACTAATCTAGAATCAGAATCCCAGACCCCTATTGCTCCAAACTTCAGGTTCCAATCTCGTCGGAGCAAGCATACATGTGGTACCAACTTCTTTTAACGTGTCACGTATTGATTGAGTAATTATTATTAAACTAATTGTTGAAGAATCGGGCAAAGATAACGAAAGAACACAAGAATTTTTAACGAGGTTCGGCAATGTGCTTACGTCATCGGTGCCTAGGCGGCGCTAGAAGTTTTATTCAATGTCACATAGGTTTAGGTTACATCTCTATTTATAATAAAAAACCTGGTACATAATTACATAATTAACCTTGTACCGTAACCTAAATAATTATAACCCCCTCTACGAGACTTTCTTTGTAAGGACAGTTGATATTCGCTTCGCTCACTCCGCTCCATCCCCTGTCCTCTTTATCGGTATATTTATGAGCCCTACCTATCACTAATTTAATAAATAAAATGTTAAATATTTATTTTTTTTAAAATAAGCCTATTATTTAAAGAAGTCGAGCACATCAAAAATTCAGCATACTTATCTCTGTCTGACTTTCCCCCCCCCCCCCTATAATCACTATAAAACAAATAACCATCGGAGAACAGCCGTCATCCTAGATGTTCCCAGTCAATTTTCCATTATGTTGGCTTTTGAGCATTACACAAACGTCTAGCTTTTACTTTTCAAAGTAACCAATGGACATATTTTATTTTATTTAAAAAAAAAACATGCTTCTGTTTGCTCTACTTTGTTTTTCATAAGATAATCTTATCTTAAAACTCAATACAAGTTTACTAGCAAGAGAAATCAGAGAAATGGTAACTCATCAACGAAAGAAATGAGTAAGTAGCGAGAGCAACGAGAATGACTTTGTATCTCATGCTCATCTCCCTAATTCTCATGTCTGAAAAGTAATATAATGGTAACTGTCGAACAATTAGAGTTGATAGAATAAATTAATAAATAGAATAACATACTGTCTAGTGCGATCATAACGGTCACTGCTGCTGTAATTTGCAAAGATGTTCCAACAATGTACTAGCCTTTCGCTTGGCCCTCTCTGTACCACTCTTTGTAAGCTCGGTCAAGGGTATGGCGGCTCCAAGCCGACTTAGGCAGGAAAGACTCTCTGTGTCTCTTTTACACAGCCAGCAAAATCGCAGCTGCATTCTCTTCGGTGCGGGGAAATCCTGTTCTTAAAAGATCGATTAAAACAGATATGGTACTAGCCTTTACGATAGCAACCTTAGCATCGTGGTTGCTCGCAAGAACCGAAAGTATTGTTAGAGCCTCATCAACCATACAGTTCCCTGAATCTGTAAGCATCTTCAGCCCTGATAGCAACAAAC